GATGTATGTATATATATGTGTGTGTGTATGTATATGTATGCATGTGCATGTGTGTGTGTGTATGTGTGTGTGTGTGAGTGTGTGTGTGTGTGTGTATGTGTGTGTGTGTGTGTGTGTGTGTGTGTGTGTGTGCGCACGAGGAGGATTGTGGTACATGTAGAAGTGTACTTTGTCTATAAGGAGTGTGTGTTCCTGCTGAGACGTTGGGGCACTTTTGCAAGATTCTCAACAAATGTAACTATCAAAGAGGAAACGACAAGCAAAAGATAATCTAGATAATGAAAGTTTATTTTAGAAGCAAAAAGGGTGTTGCACGTGGGAGCTATGAGCTCAGTATGGCTCGTCTGTATAGGTTTCTAGCTCTTTAATTTTAGCCCGACCTCTTTCTCCCCCCCCCCTCTATGTTTCTCCCTACCTCCCTCTGTCTTCTCTCCTTCTTTCTTTTCCTCTCCTTGGAAGGTATATGCGACAGTCTTTCTCTTTTACACGAAAGAAATCCATACTTTTATACTACAATTAACGAAAAGAGAAATAATGCAATACATTAATTGCCGAGGTGAAAACCGCGAGCATTGAGTAAAAGTTGGCTCTTTCTTCACTCATTTATGCTATCTATACACTCTTGCAATTTATATGTGCCCTTAACATTGCTCTTGAGTTAGGACATACTATATCTGTGCATTCGCTGATAAAGTCAGCAGTGAAGATGATGGCCTTTATTCTGTTGTTTCGTTGGTTAAAACTTAAATTATTTTTTCGTACATTGGGTTTGTTTTGAAAAACTCATTTGGGTATTTGTTTGTAATAAACCAAACGTAACTAATCTGAAAAAAGAATAAGTGTCTTCATTTATTAGAATGTTCTCTTTAGAGTCAGCTGGTTTGAGACTGTCAGTAGGCTGCACTTGCTTTATACACGCTGACCGGGAACCATTTATATTGAACATCTTTAAATCCATCGTTAACTTTTCTGCAGATGGTGACCACCACGACTTTGGAAACCATGGCAACCATTCCAATCATGGCCACCATTCCCATCATGACAACCATCTTCATCATGGCAACCATCCAGACCATGACAACCATTCTCACCATGGCAACCATTCTCAGAACGCGAACATTTCTCCAATAAACAACACGAAGCCAGTCAACATGACATCGGCCTTTGGATCCCTCGATACGCCTTTGGCTGGCAACCACTCCGATCATGGCAACTTTTCTCACCATGGCAACCACTCCCATCATGGCAACGTCTCTCACCATGGCAACCACTCCCATCATGACAACTTCTCTCACCATGGCAACCACTCGCATCATGGCAACTTCTCTCACCATGGCAACCACTCCCATCATGGCAACTTCTCTCACCATGGCAACCATTCTCACCATGGCAACCAC